ATCGATTCTTGTGCTAGAATGCTACTGATACAACAAATAATCATAAAATATATGTTTTAAATTTAATTAATATGAAAACATTAATGATGAAGTTCCTCAGTGTAACTTCCTCTGAAACCGAAACCAACAAAATTAACTAAATAAAATAAATCTTTAGTGAAGAATTCATCTTGCCAAGGTTAATTATGTATGTAGCAGATAACAGAGACTTCTTTTATGGCCTCCATGTAGTAACAGGGCACGTTAAGACGTCAGAACTCGGCCCTAATGTTTGACCTTCTGGTCGTTTAGGTTCTTCCAGAATTTGGTCCAAAGACCACCTTTCCAACTCTTCAATAGAAACATCAACCTCAACTAGGCTCAAGTACTAAGGCTAAAAAATATATACGTATAACATCGATAACCTCGTGTACATTCAACATATAACGAAAGTAATTCTTGCATCAGTTCGAAATAATGTGAAAGTCTGCAAGCAGATCACCATTGTCAGCCTTTACCAAATTCATTCTATGTTGGCAACCATCCATGAGTTCATTTGGACAGTTCAGATCTAAAAAAATTGGATCTAAAACTTCTTGACGATGGTGAAAAGTCAATTGAATAAAAATTTACTTGGCTATTATCCATCGTCTAGTAAATATAAAACGTAAAACGACGTTTCGGAGATGGGACTCTATCTCCGTCTTCAGGTTTCTACACAATTGGGCCCACTAGATAGAGCTAATCCCTATCTCCGGACCATAGATAAGGATTAACTCTATCTAGTGAGCCCAACTGTGTAGGAACCTGAAGACGGAGATAGAGTCCCATCTCCGAAACGTCGTTTTACGTTTTATATTTACTAGACGATGGATAATATCCAAGTAAATTTTTATTCAATTAAAAAAATTGGGTTCACCATATTTGTTAAAAGTTTATTAAATTTGACTTTGCAATGCTACCTTTCCGGATTGTTCGTACCTTCGCCCTCTTTTGGTCGTGTATAGTTCCCGGTGGATCATCGGACGGTAGAAGGAAAGCAGGCACGTATCACACCGCTCTGTGTTCTGACCAGAAGGTACTCCGAGTGGTGATGGATCCGAAACGAATTTGCTCCGGACCTTATTTTCGGAACCTGGTGAGTTCTGGTAGCCAAGCTGCGCGCTACCAGAATTTGGTTGTTTCACAAATCAACCACACTTCGAGCTTGGTGACGGTTCAGTGTGCACTGCTAGATTGACCGGCCAACAACCAAATTGGAAGAACAAGGTCGAAGGTTACTGTAAGTTGTGATGCGGCGTAGGTTTGGTTGCATATTTAGGTTTTCAGACACAGAGAGGAAAGCCCCAGGAAGTTCGAATACTGACATTTACCCTAATGTCTCTAAGGGAGACACTCTTCAGAATATATTTTTGTTTTCGAATAGCTCTTGTGACCTGCCTCTGTGTCTGCTTTTAATTTAAACATTTATAAACTATTCATAACAGAATATTTACGATTATAAATTCAGTTCATCACCGAGAGAGATGATTATCAATGAAACACTGCCTCGTATAAATTGCTTTGTGCGAACAAAATAAAGAGGACATCATTAAAACTTTCGTAGTATTTCTGTGATTCGCACCCCACAATTCAACCTCACCCTCGTATTCATTGATTCATCACGCGTTTATGCCTTGAACCTGGGAATGAGTTATTGGCGAATACCCGGACCATCTCGGTGTCCATGGTTGCTAAGGTTAGGCATACTTCGATTACCGTGGTTACCTACGTAATCCAAAGCCACTCAGACAGATCTGACATTGTCGGGTTCACGAAAGTTTTCAAACACAGGCTAAACGCACAAAGATTTCTATATTTTTAAATCGCACATTATTTGGAATATATACAGTCAGTCAGATGGGATTATGCAGCCAGTGAATTTGGCCTTTTTACTTTCAAGTATTAATTTTGAACATTCTTTATAGCGATGATCCTCGTAATATTCTTGAATCTAATAAAACGATCAGAGTTCGCTCGCCATATAAGGCGTAGTTCTTGATAGCTGTAGCAGTTGATTTTGTGTTCAAAACTTGTACTCAAAAGACTTGATTTATTTATGCGTTCCTCTGTGTTGTATTGTTCTGTGTGTAGGCCTTGAGTCAAATTGATCATCGTCCAAACAGTTCTTATAAACATCCAAACTAATCCTAAATTTCAGAGCAGTTCTTATAAAATGAGAGTATTCATAGACAAAATCGCAATGGAAATGCATTTTAGTTTATATCGTAACACCCAAGATAATTTATACAATCTTTACGCATAATTTAAAGTAACAAGTTCGTTCGTCCATGTTTCTGAAGATAGTTCTACGGCGTTTGAAAATAATCCTGTCACTCGAATTGACAATTAGGTCAGGACAATTCTGGGCATACAGTCACAACTGTAACACGTGATTTATCTTTATAATAATCCGACCTCGATCTCCACTTTCGATACATTTATTTTATTTTCATCTTTTGTTTATGTTATTTGGTCCGCGAAGAATGTAGGAACGTTCGCGAGTTTAAGTAGACACTGTAGAAAAGTCAGTTTAATGTAGCATTATGGATATTAGTTATCTTAAGAAGACGTCAACTACTGAATGTTTCTTGGTGTGAAGCTGAGTGTGTCTTAGAGAAGTAGGCAACATGAAGTATTTTAGAAGATTCGCGTACTGTGTCTGTGTTGCTAATTTATCTGAGATTCGTGAACGCGTGTCGCTACACTGTGTTGGCATAAGTTTATAACTGCTGAATGTGTGGAAATTTAGGACGTTTCTTTGTACTGATAAGAAGAAAATAACCTAGTCTTCCCTCTTGTACGAAAGTTGATAGTGTGTTTGTACATGTATATTCATTTCTTGACATATTTTATGATTTCGTAGATTTTAGTGATGAGAAATGGCATCTTTGTAATATCTACGTAAAATATAAAATAAAATCATGTAGAGTATTACGACTGATTTGTTCTGTGTGACGACATGATTCAGAATTCGACTAAGAAGATATATACCACCATGTTTACATGAGGAATTATGGGGGTACTGAAGTGTTCTACAGGTAAGTGAGAAATGAATTTTCCCTGAAACAATTAGACACCCAATTAACGATCGGAATAGGATTTACTTATTTTGTGAAATATTAAATTATCTGCTTTCTGAACGTCCGAAATCGAAAGTAAAGTTCCCAAGGTGCCCTCACATTTTCAGGGTTCTGCGCAGGTCCCCCTGAAACCTAACCCAACAGAACCAACCGGTGTGAAATGGCGTCCTAAGCACGAATTTCATAAAATTGAATTCATGGACCGATGTTGATGAAATTTCGCATGGACGTCATGCCACAGATAATATAATGAAAATAAATACCCAATATGTCATTATGTTTTTAATAAAGTCACACGAAGCCACCAAAATCGCTAGGTGGACGTTTTGCGTAATCGGCCACGACCACTGCCACTGTAGTTTATATTAACTTTACTGGAGATACCTGTGTTTGTTAAAATTTCGTATCCGTTACGTATTCGTGATTCCCTACTTCTTTGGGCATTTGAATGTATTAAAATGAATGTTGAATAATATTTTAGACACAAAGACGTATTGCGCCCCGGATTGCTCAACGCAGTTGCGGATTCATACTAAGTTATTCGCGTGTAAAATACATCGTTCGAAATAAATATGTTAGGAGTGGTTGGAAATATATGATCTTACGTTTATTAATATTGTAATGGGTTTTATTTAACCTTATGAGGGTGGTATTTATAAATGACTTTAGGTTCAGAAATGCGAGGAATGTTGCGTGCAGGTGGCACTGATTCTAGGACGTTTCTTTTTAAAGTCTTGAGATGTCGCCCTGTATCGATAACAGTAGTACATGGCTATTGAAGGACGTGAAGAGCATACTCACAGACGCAATCTACAGGGGGTAGTACTGAACCATACTTACGACGTCCGAATACAACCCGTGCGATCAATGTCTTGTGTTGTTAGGGAAATTCAGTCGGTATTTATTTTGTTACGGAGGTGTTTGCGTTCCGTTAAAATCGTCTCTATTAACTATCCGTCGAAATTATAAGCCATCAGTGGGAACATTTAACGTATATTCGTACTTAGTAATCTTTTCCGTAAGGATGAATATGAATAATAGATATCATTGAAAGACTTACACAGTGAAATGTTTCACGATGAGAAGCTGAGTGTGTATATCTTATTAGTGACGTAGGCAAAATCTTTTAAAAGATTTCACGTACTGTGTGTTTGTGTTTTGCCAATATATCCGAGATTCGTGATTTTGTTGGTATAATTTTGTTAACGCTGTGTGTGTGTTTAAATGTAGGAAGTATCTTTGTACTGATAAGAAGAAAATCACCTAGTCTTCCCTCTTGTACGAAAGGTGATAGTGTGTTTATACGCGTATATTCATTTCTTGGTTCATTTGTGATTTCGTAGGTTTTGGTGATGAGAAATGGCATCTTTGTAATATCTACGTAAAGTATAAAATAAAATCAAGTAGAGTATTACGACAAATTTGTTCTGTGTGACGACATGATTCAGAATTCGACTAAGAAGATATATACCACCATGTTTATATGAGGAATTATGGGGGCACTGAAGTGTTCTACAGGTAAGTGAGAAATGAATTTTCCCTGAAACAATTAAACACGCAATTAACGATCTGATTAAATATGGGAATGAGATATCACTCGTATCGTCATGTCGTCTCGTACATAGCTGCTACGCAGACGACAGAAATCTTATAATTCTCCGCCGTGAAAACCTGAATTCCGACTTTAAAAATCGTAAGATTCCCTGTATTTATTAGGATTTCATCCTATCATATTTTATAGCATTCTTTTGTTAATCAGTATGACATAGATTATAAATCTTATTCTGCCTGTCTCTTCTTTTCCTTGGATTTACTCTCAAATACACTTTTCAATAAATCTATCTTACTTTTTCATATATTAATCAGGTGAAGTATCTTCCAAGCTATTGGCCGGTCAAATCGATAATATTGCTTCAAGAATGCTGTGCAATCACCTTACGGGTAACGTTGTCCATCCACTCTTAGCGATTTCTACAATCGTAACATGACAGTCTCGTGATTACTGTATTTCTTCATATCCAGAACTCATGAGTACGTGGGTCAGGACACTGGGGATTAAGGAGGTAGACACGAGGAGAATTTTTGATAGAATGAAGATTTCAGAAGAAGAAGCTGTGAAATGCGGGGGAGACAAGGAGTAGAAAAGGAATAGGGTGGAGTTGACTCTGTGACAAAGTAGAAGAGAGACGCAGAGAGACGAGATAATGCACAGTAACGAAAAAGAATAGTACAAGAATATCAGGAATGGAATAAAAAGAATTGTCTTCTGTCGTCTCCAAATCTGTACTGCTCAGATATACATTACTCCATAAAGCCGAGTTCCTTGTAACGAATTTGGTCCAAAAGCGACGGAACACAATATCATTTTCAGTCCCAGTCCGCAAAACTGATGGCCTCAGCGCGAATGTAACAAGAATTCGGACTTGAACTGAGATTTGCAGTACGCCAATATATAAACAAGTCCTGGACCCCATCGAGCTCGTACATGACTACGCCAATATATAAACAAGTCCTGGACTCCATCGAGCTTGTACATGAAAGATATCAGTCTACTCTGTTGGTATGTTCGTCACACTATATGCGATCATAAGGCTTTGTATCTCGTTAAATATTTATTATATCGATGAGTCTGGCTGTATGACAAGAGTGACGACGACGTTTCGGGTATCAGACAGCGCAGACTCACGATTATCCGGGTTGGTTGGGTAGTACAGTTTCCCGCATTATCGAAACCCCGAACAACGAGCAAAATATTGAAGAAAGTCGTGAAAATGTGACATCATAAGTTTATTTACAGACATAAACTGGGTAATTTTTTTTAAAGATGTACTAACAACAGAATTTATGTTATATAAAATTTAATACATCATAAAACACGTAGTTCTTGAAATGGATTCCAACGGACGGTAATAACATTATGTTGTCGTAAACTTCAGGTTGTATCAGTAATTAATCTCTCTTAATGAGTTAAATAATGCCATTTTCGTATTTATTCCTATTTTTTTAACCTTTTTAAATTTTACAACACATTTTCTAAATTAATATTTAATTTCATGCTCCGAGTTAATCCGGAGCCCACTGTACATGCTTCGGTGTCAAGGACGGTGTTTCATTGTCTGCAGTTCTTCTTATTCTTATTTAACTTTTGTAACTTCCACTCAAATATTAACAAGAAATTCTCGTTAGAACTTCTAAATTCTACTCTTCTACTGCACAGACTTCTAGTTATATCTGTACTGTGTTACTAAGTTTATATTTAGGAAATATAAATGTATTAGCTACAATTTAAGTTTAGTGTAGCTCACGAATTCTGGTTGTGCGGTCGTTCACAGGATATTAGTTACTTCTTCTTTATTACGCCGTCTCCTTTACAAGAGGTTGGCGACATATTATGAACAGGATCCTTCCATCCTTTTCTCGGACTGGGACCTGTTCATATACGTTCTTGGCAGATGATCCAGAAGTGGTTTGCCATTGCCTTCTTCTGTGTGTGAATGGAGTAATTGTTGGGATGCCACGGAGGAAAACTCCGTGTTGCCTAGACCACGGCCTTTCCCAACACAAGTTATAAATTCGGGCACCGCCGGGAATCGAACCCAAGACCCCCAGGATTACAAGGCCAGCGTTCTAACCGCTAGACCACCTTGGCGGTGATATAATTACACTCGAGTAATATTTCGTTCGAGAATTGTAATTGTAATTGTAATTTTATTACGAACTGCTGATACAATTATTAAGATCTCTAAGTATATTTCTGTGAAAAGAATTGACTACCTACATTGGACGGAAATGGAACAAATGACTTCAGACATCGCGTGCTAAATTTGTGAAATGGCACGGTAGGCAGCATCTTTGGTTAAGAGGTTCAGTATCCGTGGTCGTCCGAGTTCTGACATCGTTAGGCCTTGTCCGGCAAAGTTGTCGCCTCCACGTAGAGAAACATCGGTAACCACCTTTCAGGATCATTTTGCGTCACAACCCTAAAGACCACAATCGACATCTTCAACTCGCGATAACCTCAAATCCCGGGCCAAAACAGGACACAAAGTGAATTCGCTCACTCCTCGAGCTGACAACGGAAAATGAGGAAATTAATTTTTGTCCTGCGGCTGTACGTACTTTTTTTTTACGAACTTTATTCTGGCTTGTGGTTGGCTGATGCGGATTTCGCTTGGTTCCTTTCCAAAAGAAAGTTGGAAAGCAATAAATCCACAAAAATAAGAGCGAAAATATCACTGTGGCAGCATGTCCGTTGCTGTTCTCCTACCGGAAGTTGGTTTCGCAAACAACTCCGCGCTACTTTTTCTCTAACTATTTCTTGCATCCTTTTCTACGCGTGCTCGCAACAAAGTTTGCAAAGTATACGGACCTTAACTTCGCTGTTTATCTTCTCATAACAACTCGGAACAGCTAAATGTATTTTCATGACATTTTAGATTAGCGTTTTACTATAAAATGTCGAGGTATTGTAATGTTTGTCGGCTGCTATATCCTACTTAAAATAGTAATGACAATTTGTTGGTGTATCTAATGCACATCTTGAAACCTGTACGGCCATAAAGTTCAGTGGTTTTGCCTTTCAATTCTCGCTTTTCACAGACAAACGTTTGCTGTGCCCCCAAAATTTTGTTACCAGCTGATGTAATTTGTTATTTATACTTCCTTGTTGTGACATGCCAAGTGCTTCACGAGCTGCAAAAATGATTTTTTGAACATATGTTCTCGTCTTTAAAGTACCATCTTCCTTACCTGCACAGAAAACTCAATGGGACCTTGACTCGAATATCAAGGGGTGGTTGGTGGAGTCCATTACATGGGGGTGGACCAGCTTTTGATTTTTGCATCACTGTCGTTGATTGGTGCTGAGTTGCGTTCTAATGTTAAACTTTGTTCTGATAAAAAAGCAAATTATTATTATTTATTTACTACATTTGGGTTTGCACCCAGTGGCAGTGGTCCTTACATACACAATTACAACGAAATACATATAATATAAACAAGTACACTCCATAGTACACCCTACACACATAACTAGACATTCACCCCTACAAAAACATTCCACCTTACACGGACACACATACAAAAACAAACACACGTTTCAAAAACACACATCCTTTAATTAATCACAATACTTTGCAAGACACTAAGACATTTGAATAAAACTTTTCTTGGATATTATCCATCGTATACTATATAAAACGTTTTATATACTAGACGATAAGAGCCACGGTGGTCTAGCGGTTAGAACGCTGGCCTTGTAACCCTGGGGTCTCGGGTTCGATTCCCGGCGGTGCCCGAATTTATAACTTGTGTTGGGTAAGGCCGTGGTCTAGGCAACACGGAGTTTTCCTCCGTGGCATCCCAACAATTACTCAATTCACACACAGAAGAAGGCAATGGCAAACCACTTCTGGATCATCTGCCAAGAACGTATATGAACAGGTCCCAGTCCGAGAAAAGGATGGAAGGATCCCGTTCATATGGACCTGTCGGCAGACAGAACACTAAAAAAAATAAAAAAAATAAAATAAAAAAATACCAGACGATGGATAATATCCAAGAAAATTTTTATTCAAATGACCCATTACCATCGTCAAGAACTTTTAGATTTTAAGAAACTAAAAGTTGACATACTTCGACCGAAAATCTAAAGGAAAGGTGATT